AGGCAATGACAAAAGAAAGTAGGCAATGGCTGAAGAAAGCGGGCAACGGCAGAAAAAAGAGGGCAATGCTAGAAGAAAGCGGGCAATGGCGGAAGAAAGCGAGCAATACCGGAAGAAAGTGGGCAATGGCGGAAGAAAGCGGGCAATGCTGGAAGAAACGGGCAATGGCAGAAGAAACGGGCAATGGCAGAAGAAAGCGGGCAATGCTAGAAGAAAGCGGGCAATGGCAGAAGAAAGCGGGCAATGCTAGAAGAAAGCGGGCAATGCTAGAAGAAAGCGGGCAATGGCAGAAGAAAGCGGGCAATGGCAGAAGAAAGCGGGCAATGGCAGAAGAAAGCGGGCAATGCCGGAAGAAAACGAGCAATGGCGGAAGAAAGTGGGCAATGCCAAAAAAAAGTGGGCAATGCCGGAAAAAAGTGGGCAATGCCGGAAAAAAAGTGGGCAATGCCGGAAAAAAGTGGGCAATGGCGGAAAAAAGTGGGCAATGCCGGAAAAAAGTGGGCAATGCCGGAAAAAAGTGGGCAATGCCGGAAGAAAGTGGGCAATGCCGGAAAAAAGTGGGCAATGCCGGAAGAAAGTGGGCAATGCCGGAAGAAAGTGGGCAATGCCGGAAGAAAGTGGGCAATGGCGGAAGAAAACGGGCAATGGCGGAAGAAAACGGGCAATGGCGGAAGAAAACGGGCAATGGCGGAAGAAAACGGGCAATGGCGGAAGAAAACGGGCAATGGCGGAAGAAAGCGGGCAATGGCGGAAGAAAGCGGGCAATGGCGGAAGAAAGCGGGCAATGGCGGAAGAAAGCGGGCAATGGCGGAAGAAAGCGGGCAATGGCGGAAGAAAGCGGGCAATGCCGGAAGAAAGCGGGCAATGCCGGAAGAAAGCGGGCAATGCCGGAAGAAAGCGGGCAATGCCGGAAGAAAGCGGGCAATGCCGGAAGAAAGCGGGCAATGCCGGAAGAAAGCGGGCAATGCCGGAAGAAAGCGGGCAATGCCGGAAGAAAGCGGGCAATGCCGGAAGAAAGCGGGCAATGCCGGAAGAAAGCGGGCAATGCCGGAAGAAAGCGGGCAATGCCGGGACAATGGTAAAGCAACCCTTGGCTAGCAAAGATGTATAAGACATTGTACCCTTACCTTTGCTTGACCATCTGGTAAGAATAGATATGCTCCACTTTTATCTTTACTCATCCTAGTACCATACATCACAAAATCCACTGACAGTGATGTAGTCTTCCCATCAGACTTGGTAGTAAGAGACTGATAAAACAACATATAATATTATAAGTACACCTGACATCCATATAACTATCTCTTACTAATTTTACTATGTTTGTCAGTTGCTTTGTTTTTTGAGACAGTGAAAGTCATGACATTTTC